TTTCATCATAGGTACACGTCAACTATGACAGACAAATTGAGAAAAAAAAATTCCAGAAAATCACATTGTAGGATTTTTATGAATTTATTTGCAAATTATGGTGGAAAATAAGTATTTGGTCACCTACAAACAAGCAAGATTTCTGGCTCTCACAGACCTGTAACTTCTTATTTAAGAGGCTCCTCTGTCCTCCACTCGTTACCTGTATTAATGGCACCTGTTTGAACTTGTTATCAGTATAAAAGACACCTGTCCACAACCTCAAACAGTCACACTCCAAACTCCACTATGGCCAAGACCAAAGAGCTGTCAAAGGACACCAGAAACAAAATTGTAGACCTGCACCAGGCTGGGAAGACTGAATCTGCAATAGGTAAGCAGCTTGGTTTGAAGAAATCAACTGTGGGAGCAATTATTAGGAAATGGAAGACATACAAGACCACTGATAATCTCCCTCGATCTGGGGCTCCACGCAAGATCTCACCCCGTGGGGTCAAAATGATCACAAGAACGGTGAGCAAAAATCCCAGAACCACACGGGGGGACCTAGTGAATGACCTGCAGAGAGCTGGGACCAAAGTAACAAAGCCTACCATCAGTAACACACTACGCCACCAGGGACTCAAATCCTGCAGTGCCAGACGTGTCCCCCTGCTTAAGCCAGTACATGTCCAGGCCCGTCTGAAGTTTGCTAGAGTGCATTTGGATGATCCAGAAGAGGATTGGGAGAATGTCATATGGTCAGATTAAACCAAAATATAACTTTTTGGTAAAAACTCAACTCGTCGTGTTTGGAGGACAAAGAATGCTGAGTTGCATCCAAAGAACACCATACCTACTGTGAAGCATGGGGGTGGAAACATCATGCTTTGGGGCTGTTTTTCTGCAAAGGGACCAGGACGACTGATCCGTGTAAAGGAAAGAATGAATGGGGCCATGTATCGTGAGATTTTGAGTGAAAACCTCCTTCCATCAGCAAGGGCATTGAAGATGAAACGTGGCTGGGTCTTTCAGCATGACAATGATCCCAAACACACCGCCCGGGCAACGAAGGAGTGGCTTCGTAAGAAGCATTTCAAGGTCCTGGAGTGGCCTAGCCAGTCTCCAGATCTCAACCCCATAGAAAATCTTTGGAGGGAGTTGAAAGTCTGTGTTGCCCAGCGACAGCCCCAAAACATCACTGGTCTAGAGGAGATCTGCATGGAGGAATGGGCCAAAATACCAGCAACAGTGTGTGAAAACCTTGTGAAGACTTACAGAAAACGTTTGACCTGTGTCATTGCCAACAAAGGGTATATAACAAAGTATTGAGAAACTTTTGTTATTGACCAAATACTCCACCATAATTTGCAAATAAATTCATTAAAAATCCTACAATGTGATTTTCTGGATTTGTTTTTCTCATTTTGTCTGTCATAGTTGACGTGTACCTATGATGAAAATTACAGGCCTCTCTCATCTTTTTAAGTGGGAGAACTTGCACAATTGGTGGCTGACTAAATACTTTTTCCCCCCACTGTACTTGTTGGATGTGCATTATATCCAGCTGTTTAGTTAGGCCTAGTGATATTGTCGACCATCATCAGCTGATCCAGGAAATATTTTTTAGAATGACAGTCAAATGACAAACAGCTGTTGTGATATAGAAAGCAATGCAAAAATAGCCAGTGTTGGAAAACTGTGTTCGGAAGAATATCCATAACATGTTCTCTCAGTCCTTGTGCCAGTGAAGACATTTGTGATCCACGTTGGATCCAATCCAATACCCATACATTTATGTTGATTATCTGCTATTCTCTGCTTGATTTACAGCAGGGCCTAGAAGATCTAACAGTGATCTTAGGGTTACCCACCAAAACAAATTGTTGTCAGAAAATAGAGAGTGACATATAATTTGAAAGCTACAGCCCTTGTCTTTTTGAATATTGAACTCAAATCTTACTGCTGGCAATGTCATAAAAATCCCCCTTTCAATAACTTGAAAGGCCTGATTCCCAATAGTTATTTTAAGATGTCAGGCTTGAAAATCCATTCAGCCATTTTGGCACAGTGACTCACTACCTAAACCAGACGCAACTGGTTTATTGTGGCCAAGAGACGTCATGTGATCTCCAACTGCTCTCTAGTGGACGAACTGGGAATCAGACAGTGCCTTCAGAAAGTATTCAAACCCCTTGACTCATTCCACATTTTGTTGTGTTACAGCCTGAATTCAAAATGGATTAACTTGATTTTTTTCTCACCCATCTACACACAATACCCCATAATGACAAAGTGATAACATGTTTTTAGAATTTTAAATGTTTTTATTGAAAATGAAATAAATAAATATCTCATTTACATAAGTATTCACACCTCTGAGTCAATACATGTTAGAATCACCTTTGGCAGCTATTATGGGTGTGAGTCTTTCTGGGTAAGTCTCTAAGAGCTTTCCACACCTGGATTTGACAATATTTGCAAAAGTCTTCAAGCTCTGTCAAATTGGTTGTTGATCATTGCTAGACAGCCATTTTCAAGTCTTGCCAGTGCATATTTGGCCTTGTGTTTTAGGTGAATTTGTCTCCCAGTGTCTGTTGGAAAGCAGACTGAATCAGGTTTTCCTCTAGGATTTTGCCTGTGGATCTATTCTGTGGATCTATTCAGTTTATTTTTTATAAAAAAAAAAATCCCTAGTCCTTGCCGATGACAAGAATACCCATAACATGATGCAGTCACCACCATGCTTGAAAATATGAGGAGTGGTACTCAGTGATGTGTTGTGTTGGATTTGCCCCAAACATAATGCTTTCTATTCAGGACATACATGTAATTTCTTTGCCACATTTTTTGCTGTTTTACTTAGGTGCCTTGTTGCAAACAGGATTTTTCTGGGTGGGATGATTTCCAGGTCTGCTGAGATTTAGCTTATATTACTTGCTACCAGATCAAAGAGGAGAGTTGAGTTGACAAAGATGGGACAGACAGCTGTAAACCTGTAAAAGGAAAGACAAGGCATTGGAGTAGAATTTCCCTGGGGACATTTCTGGCAGGTGTTACAGCATTCCCCATTCACTTCCACCTGCCAGGGAGGAGTCGCAAAATGGAGAGCTTACTTTACGGAAGGATCTTAGATCCAACTTGAAGATCTAGGACTATTTATAAATGTTGTGTTGTGATTCTCTTATGACTGTTGAGCCAAACATTTTTTCACTAATTGGTATTTTGACCAATCAGATAAGCTCTGAATAAGATGTGATGTGAAAAGATCTTATGTGATTGGTCAAAAGACTGTATAAACTAGACTAGCTTGGAGGGATATCATTTTTGGCTTACTAAGCAACAAAATTCACAAATGCCGTACTAGATAACTGTAACTCGAGTCGTTGCCCTATCACCTCTCCAAGTGGCCTGCCATATTGGGGCTAAGGGGCCATGGCTGAGGGGGGAGAGAGTGACCATGTATCAACACTCAAATCAAATCAAATCAAATGTTATTGGTCACATGCACCGAATACAACAGGTGCAGACATTACAGTGAAATGCTTACTTAGAGCCCTTAACCAACAGTGCATTTATTTTTAACAAAGAAAGTAAAAATAAAACAACAACAAAAAAAGTGTTGAGAAAAAAAAGAGCAGAAGTAAAATAAAATAACAGTAGGGAGGCTATATATACAGGGGGGTACCGGTGCAGAGTCAATGTGTGGGGGCACCGGCTAGTTGAGGTAGTTGAAGTAATATGTACATGTGGGTAGAGTTAAAGTGACTATGCATAAATAATTAACAGAGTAGCAGCAGCGTAAAAAGGATGGGGTGGGGGGGGGGGGCAGTGCAAATAGTCCGGGTAGCCATGATTAGCTGTTCAGGAGTCTTATGGCTTGGGGGTAGAAGCTGTTGAGAAGTCTTTTGGACCTAGACTTGGCACTCCGGTACCGCTTGCCGTGCGGTAGCAGAGAGAACAGTCTATGACTAGGGTGGCTGGAGTCTTTGACAATTTTGAGGGCCTTCCTCTGACACCGCCTGGTATAGAGGTCCTGGATGGCAGGAAGCTTGGCCCCAGTGATGTACTGGGCCGTACGCACTACCCTCTGTAGTGCCTTGCGGTCGGAGGCCAAGCAGTTGCCATACCAGGCGGTGATGCAACCAGTCAGGATGCTCTCGATGGTGCAGCTGTAGAATTTTTTGAGGATCTGAGGACCCATGCCAAATCTTTTCAGTCTCCTGAGGGGGAATAGGCTTTGTCGTGCCCTCTTCACGACTGTCTTGGTGTGTTTGGACCATGATAGTTCGTTGGTGATGTGGACACCAAGGAACTTGAAGCTCTCAACCTCTCAACCTGTTCCACTACAGCCCCGTCGATGAGAATGGGGGCGTGCTCAGTCCTCTTTTTTTTCCTGTAGTCCACAATCATCTCCTTTGTCTTGGTCACGTTGAGGGAGAGGTTGTTGTCCTGGCACCACACGGCCAGGTCTCTGACCTCCTCCCTATAGGCTGTCTCATCGTTGTCGGTGATCAGGCCTACCACTGTTGGGTCGTCGGCAAACTTAATGATGGTGTTGGAGTCGTGCCTGGCCATGCAATCATGGGTGAACAGAGAGTACAGGAGGGGACTGAGCACGCACCCCTGAGGGGCCCCCTTGTTGAGGATCAGTGTGGCAGATGTGTTGTTACCGACCCTTACCACCTGGGGGCGGCCCGTCAGGAAGTCCAGGATCCAGTTGCTGAGGGAGGTGTTTAGTCCCAGGATCCTTAGCTTAGTGATGAGCTTAGAGGGCACTATGGTGTTGAATGCCTGTGTTTTATGTGTTTAATGAGACAAGTGAAAAACTATCTGGCATTGTATAGTCTACTAGCTCTGGGTGCAATGTTACAACAGCCTTGCAACTTAATTTTAAATTAAAGATAAATCTCTTCACCCCCCACCTCTCTCTCTCTTTCTCTCTTTCTCTCTCTATCAGTTAGAGGAGTATCCAACTAAGCAGTCGCCGTGGATTGTGGGAAGTGGAGGCGGAGGGCGCCATGCAGAATGAGGCCCAGGGCCCGGCAGCCGCCAGCTCCAGCAGCATCAGTATGAGTCCCAGTGTCACCACCAGCCTGGTCACTACTAGCAGCACTTGGAGGCCAACCCTGCCCCACATCTCTGTCTACGCTGGGATCCCAGACAGACAGACTGTTCAGGTACAGTAGTAGAAATGTTTTGTATAAAGTATCTCAAAAGCGTGTCCTGTGTGGTGGCATGGGGGTGGCCTTGGGTTGTTGCTGTTGATGTTGATGTTGGTGTTGCTATTGCTGTTGTTGTTGTTGTTGTTGTTGTTGTTTTCACCATTGCAACATAATCCACTTATGAATTTGGATGTTTTGTTGCATCACAACAACATCAATATAGTGCAATAAAGTTACTTTTCACTTTCAGAAAGCAATACTGTTGTAATAGGAGTTGGAGTTTGTAAGGTGTAATGAAATGGATTTGAAATGGATTTCAACCCCAACCCTGCTCAGTAGTGCAGATCCAGCTGAATTTTCCAGGTCGTTACCGCCATCTAGTGGCCAGTTTAAGACTAAAGATATCGGTCGTGAGTCCAGGATGAGTGTTCAGAGATTGTCTCACTGATGATAATGATATTGAATTATTTTCATACCAGAATATGGGTATGTGTTTTTCCTCCAGAAACAGATACTTGTCACTGCTCGTCAGACACGTCAATGCAAGTGGTGATGTACCGGCATTCAAAGTGCATAAAGGTGTCAGCAGTACTGATGCTTCAAATATCACCCACAGCAGTCCCACCAGTTAGAGACAAAAGGGCCTACCTGAATGAAAACTCTGGGATCCTGACTATCATATTGAGCACTGATAATCTAGAAGGTCACAGGTCATTGGTCAATCTCTCTCTCTCTCTCTCTCTCTCTCTCTCTCTCTCTCTCTCTCTCTCTCTCTCTCTCTCTCTCTCTCTCTCTCTCTCTCTCTCTCTCTCTCTCTCTCTCTGCAATGATGTCACTGGTGAATGAGGGCTCCCCATGATATGTGGGAGGGGCCAGTTAGGCTAAGCGAGAGCAGCTATTGGCTCCCAAAGGCAGAACTTCTCTCTTGTGTGGCTAACTAGGTGCTTGGCTGGTGATTCCAGGTTGGGGAGGATTCTGTCTGAGGATCTCACAGCCCTATAGGCGGAACTTCTATTGCAAGTGATGTCGAGTCGGTTCTAAAGAAAAAGAGAGAGACTTATCTTATCTAGGTCTATGAAGATTTTTGACCAAGGTTTGTTTCAGAGTTCACTGAAGTATATAAAAAAAAAAGATCTCCAAAGTGTGGTACGTAACGAGTTTCATCTGATTACAGCATATCTTATTGGTGCTTGTTTTAATTAATCGTAAAGAAATAAACAAGTAATTGATAGTTAATTACAATGTAATTACCATTCTACTGTGTACAGTCTTAGTAAATGCCTAGTCTGTACCGTAATATAAAGTGCTACCATGAAGATGGCAAGTTTGCATGTTTTTTCAGTTGCATGGTCTTGGTCTGGTCTGGTGTAAAAAGGGGCCCGGCCAGTGTGGAGTGTGGAGGCAGGCAGTGATGGAGTAGGGCTGGTCCTCTGGAGGTCAGAGGGGCCTAGGAGGGGGTCTGCTGGGGAATGTAGCTTGGCTGTCAGGCCTCTCTGACAGATGAGGTCTGGGTGACGGGGGAGGGGCTCTCTCTGTTCTCTCTCTCTCTCTCTCTCTCTCTCTCTCTCTCTCTCCTCTCTCTCACACACATTGCTCTCTATCTATCTATCTATCTATCTATCTATCTATCTATCTATCTATCTATCTATCTATCTATCTATCTATCTATCTATCTATCTATCTATCTATCTATCTATCTATCTATCTATCTATCTATCTATCTATCTATCTATCTATCTATCTATCTATCTATCTATCTATCTATCTATCTATCTATCTATCTATCTATCTATCTCTCTCTCTCTTTTCCATCTTTCATCTCCCTCTCTCTGTAAAGGTGATCCAACAGGCGCTCCACAGACAACCCAGCACGGCAGCCCAGTACCTGCAGCAGATGTATGCAGCCCAGCAGCAGCACCTCATGCTTCAGACAGCAGCCCTCCAACAGCAGCAGCACCTCATGCTTCAGACAGCTGCCCAACAACAGCAGCAGCAGCAACTGAGCAACGTTCAGGTCCAGAGGCTAGCCGGTGTGCAACAGGTCTGTGTGAGTGGTGTGTGTGTGTGTATATTGGAGCATTGATTGTTTGTGGCCACAGGGGACAAGAAAATTCCAGATTGCACTTATTGATAGTCACCAATACATTTGTCCCATGCAGCAATAAAAGCCTAAACTCTGATGTTGCAAACAGCATGGTATCTGAGCCATAGGAACCATATGATGAATATGACAATTCAAAAGTGTTACTGATAAATTAAGCGAAATACAGTATATTGACTGATATATTGTGTAACTGAGATGTGGTCAATCTCACCAAAGCAGATCTTGACCGTCTGACCCAGTGCTTTCTGCTGAGGTTGGCCTTGTAATACACACTGCTGTCCTGGTCCCCAAGGACTGGCTCTGTATCACAGACATACATCAACCATGTCTTCAATGTCATGCACACTGGTGATTTCTCTTCTATAGGATGCTATGTGTGTCAATGTGTTCATCGACCTTTGACCTGGACCAGGGGTTCACAACCTAGGGGGGACCTTCCTTGATTTGAGTGGTGAAAGAAACTGTTTCTTCTTTTTTACAATTTGCAATTCTTTATACCGATCTAAAACTATGCATAAATCTGTGATGCTTTAGGCTTTAAAATGCCAGAGGAAGACCCGACTCTGATGCACATGGGAATATCTTTGGTTTGTCTCTATGATATTCAGATGCTGAGCTACGACCTTCTAAAGTCAAGGAGTCAAATAAATTAGACTTTGCTTGAGAAGTCATATTATTATTATTTTTAAATATAAATTATCATAATAAAACATATTTGGTAGAGGAATAACATTTGGGGAAAAGAGTCTAGACTTTATTTTCCTTATCCATTATTATTATTATTATTATTATTATTATTATTATTAAATAGCCTACCTAAAATATGTCATGAGTCTTGTTAAACTATGTAGAATTGCAGGAAATGAACTTCAACAAAAACATTTTTATAGATCCCTCAAATCATGTTGGTGTTGTATTTAATATAGGCTATCTCAATAAACAATAATAAAACATAGTGACATTTTTCAAATGTAAAAAAAGGTTGGGAACCACTGACCATATGATCCCTGGACATACGGGACACAGGCTGATAAGTATTGATCTCAACTGGTTTCTTTATGACCATCTTTCAAATCCTCCAGCCATTGATTACACATTCATAATCTGATTTGTTCTCTTTAGTATTGTGTCGTTCAATTCTCCACAAGATAGACGAGACATTGAAAAGTGATGATTCTCGCGTGGGCCACACATTCTGGATGGATGTGTTCATTGCTAGTTGGATAAAAGCTACAGTATTATTAGAAATAGGGTGCATATTAATTACCTTAATAATAGGGGGTGCCCATTGAGCCAAACAAACCCATTCAAAAACAAATAGTGTTACAGTTACATGTCATTTTTACCATTTATTGTTTTAAGCAACATTTCAAAACAAGACATGGGCGCTATTGACTAGTTAGCTGATAGACTGCCGAAAAGACTTCCACACTCTGCCTTCCTTCCCTCCGTGTTTACCTGCGATGGGAGCTGCTTCCTGTGGGCCAATGTGGGGCTAATGTGTGGATTGATGGAGAGCCCTCTGTGCCCCCCTCTCTCTCTCTCTCTCTCTCTCTCTCTCTCTCTCTCTCTCTCTCTCTCTCTCTCTCTCTCTCTCTCTCTCTCTCTGAGAATGCCCCAGGCTTCCTGAGCTCTGACAGTGATGAATGTCTGTATACCTGGGAGACTCCAAGGCATGTACAGCACACAACATACCTCATATACAGTGAGGTCCAAAAGTATTTGGACAGTGACATTTTGTGTTGTTGTTTTGGCTCTGTACTCCAGCACTTTGGATTTGAAATGATACAATGACTATGATGTTAAACTGCAGACTATCATATATTCATCAATTTCAGGTGAATCGTTTAGAAATTACAGCACCTTTTTGTACATAGTCCCCCCATTTTAAGGAACCAAAAGTATTTGGACAAATTCATTTATATATGTATTAAAGTAATACAAAGTTTAATATTTGGTCCCATATTCCTAGCACGCAGTGACTACATCAAGCTTGTGACTACAAACTTGTTGGATGCATTTGCAGTTTGTGTTGGTTGTGTTTCAGATTATTTTGTGCCCAATAGAAATGAATAGTAAATAATGTATTGTGTCATTTTGGAGTCAATTTTATTGTTAATAAGAATATATGTTTCTAAACACTTCTAAATTAATGTGGATGCTACCATGATTACGGATAATCATGAAAGAAACGTGAATAATGATGAGTGAAAAAGTTACAGAGGCATGAGTATCATACCCCCCAAAAAATGCTAACCTCCGCTGTTATTGGTAGTGGTGAGAGGTTAGCATGTCTTGGGGGTATGAGATTTGGTGCTTTGGAATTCAAAGGTCGGCCATTTTCTTAACACACAGAGATGATAGCTCTCCTAATACGTCCAAGTAAATCAAATCATTTCTGGGTAACAATTAAGTACATTACTGTGATTATTTTTAAATATTACTTTCAATTTTCAACTGAACACTATCTTTCTTATTGGTCAGTTAACTAATTTACCGCCTGGTGATGTCACCAGGCAGGCCAAAACTCCATCCCACCAAAACTTCCACTAAAAGGGCATTATCCTCATTTTCACCATTTCACAGTATTATTCCAACCTCATAGTGTGGAAATATATATAAAACACAGGAAAATCAAGTTTTTGACTGCACTGGGCCTTTAACCTCTATGGTCAGTGGTATCTCTCCTCCTGACAATATTGACCAAAACAATGAACAGCACAACTTGACGGAGGTCATTACAGCAGTAACGCTTTACAGCCTGCATGTATGAGCCCCATTACACACGCACTACATTTACATTTATGTCATTTAGCAGACGCTCTTATCCAGAGCGACTTACAAATAGGTGCATTCACCTTATAGCCAGTGGGATAACCACTTTACAATGTTATTTTTTTATTTTATTATTATATTTTTTTGGGTGGGGGGGTAGAAGGATTACTTTATCCTATCCCAGGGTGTTGAGTGACTCCGCTGTCCTGGCGTTGTGAGGGAGCTTGTTCCACCATTGGGGTGCCAGAGCAGCGAACAGTTTTGACTGGGCTGAGCGGGAACTATGCTTCCGCAGAGGTAGGGGAGCCAGCAGGCCAGAGGTGGATGAACGCAGTGCCCTCGTTTGGGTGTAGGGACTGATCAGAGCCTGAAGGTACGGAGGTGCCGTTCCCCTCACAGCTCCGTAGGCAAGCACCATGGTCTTGTAGCAGATGCGAGCTTCAACTGGAAGCCAGTGGAGTGTGCGGAGGAGCGGGGTGACGTGAGAAAACTTGGGAAGGTTGAACACCAGACGGGCTGCGGCATTCTGGATGAGTTGTTGGGGTTTAATGGCACAGGCAGGGAGCCCAGCCAACAGCGAGTTGCAGTAATCCAGACGGGAGATGACAAGTGCCTGGATTAGGACCTGTGCCGCTTCCTGTGTAAGGCAGGGTCGTACTCTCCGAATGTTGTAGAGCATGAACCTACAGGATCGGGTCACCGCCTTGATGTTAGCGGAGAACGACAGGGTGTTGTCCAGGGTCACGCTAAGGCTCTTCGCACTCTGGGAGGAGGACACAACGGAGTTGTCAACCGTGATGGCGAGATCATGGAACGGGCAGTCCTTCCCCGGGAGGAAGAGCAGCTCCGTCTTGCCGAGGTTCAGCTTGAGGTGGTGATCCGTCATCCATACTGATATGTCTGCCAGACATGCAGAGATGCGATTCGCCACCTGGTTATCAGAAGGGGGAAAGGAGAAGATTAGTTGTGTGTCGTCAGCGTAGCAATGATTGGAGAGGCCATGTGAGGATATGACAGAGCCAAGTGACTTGGTGTATAGTGAGAATAGGAGAGGGCCTAGAACTGAGTCCTGGGGGACACCAGTGGTGAGAGCACGTGGTGCGGAGACAGCTTCTCGCCACGCCACTTGGTAGGAGCGACCGGTCAGGTAGGACGCAATCCAAGAGTGAGCCGCGCCGGAGATGCCCAGCTCGGAGAGGGTGGAGAGGAGGATCTGATGGTTCACAGTATAAAAGGCAGCAGACAGGTCTAGAAGGACAAGAGCAGAGGAGAGAGAGTTAGCTTTAGCAGTGCGGAGAGCCTCTGTGACACAGAGAAGAGCAGTCTCAGTTGAATGACCAGTCTTGAAACCTGACTGGTTTGGATCAAGAAGGTCATTCTGAGAGAGATAGCAAGAGAGTTGGCTAAAGACGGCACGCTCAATAGTTTTGGAGAGAAAAGAAAGAAGGGATACTGGTCTGTAGTTGTTGACATCAGAGGGATCGAGTGTTGGTTTTTTGAGAAGGGGTGCAACTCTCGCTCTCTTGAAGAAGGAAGGGACATAGCCAGCGGTCAAGGATGAGTTGATCAGCGAGGTGAGGTAAGGGAGAAGGTCACCGGAGATGGTCTGGAGAAGAGAGAAGGGGATAGGGTCAAGCGGGCAGGTTGTTGGGCGGCCTGCCGTCACAAGTCGCAAGATTTTATCTGGAGAGAGAGGGGAGAAAGAAGTCAAAGCATAGGGTAGGGCAGTGTGAGCAGGACCAGCAGTGTCATTTGACTTAACAAATGAGGATCGGATGTCGTCAACCTTCTTTTCAAAATGGTTGACGAAGTCATCCAGAGAGAGGGAGGGGGGGGGGGGGGGGGGGATTCAGCAGGGAGGAGAATGTGGCAAAGAGCTTCCTAGGGTTAGAGGCGGATGCTTGGAATTTAGAGTGGTAGAAAGTGGCCTTAGCAGCAGAAACAGATGAAGAAAATGTAGAGAGGAGGGAGTGAAAAGATGCCAGGTCTGCAGGGAGTCTAGTTTTCTTCCATTTCCGCTCAGCTGCCCGGAGCTCTGTTCTGTGAGCTCGCAATGAGTCATCAAGCCATGGAGCTGGAGGGGAGGACCGAGCCGGCCGGGAGGATAGGGGACATAGAGAGTCAAAGGATGCAGAAAGGGAGGAGAGGAGGGTTGAGGAGGCAGAATCAGGAGATTGGAGGGAGAAGGATTGAGCAGAGGGAAGAGATGATAGGATGGAAGAGGAGAGAGTAGCGGGAGAGAGAGAGTGAAGGTTGCGACGGCGCATTACCATCGGTGTAGGGGCAGAGTGAGTAGTGTTGGAGGAGAGGGAGAGAGAAAAGGATACAAAGTAGTGGTCGGAGACTTGGAGGGGAGTTGCAGTGAGATTAGTAGAAGAACAGCATCTAGTAAAGATGAGGTCAAGCGTATTGCCTGCCTTGTGAGTACATTGTAATATTGTTGTATGGTGGTATTATACATTTTGTATTGTAGATATGTAGTGGTGTAATGTGATATGATGTACTGATGTATCTTTTGTTTTATATGTAATCTAAGTGCCTTTAATGTGTTTGGACCCCAGGAAGAGTAGCTGCTGCCTTGGCAACAGCTAATGGGGATCCCTAATAAATACAAACACAAATACAAATTACAGCTATAGCTAAACTAAGTGGTTGCTCACTACTAGCCATGTGAAGACTTTCGTATAGTTTCCCCCCACATAACAAATTGGTCTCCATCAGTATGAGGCCTGGCTGGTTAACATGGGCTCTTGATGGATGACTAGTTCCTCACTGGGGGCAAAATCATTTTACACTATGAGGGCATTTACACTCCATTAGAGAAGAGTAGGCTACACTTGGGGGCTAAGTCTCTGTCCATTACTCTTAGGTCTGTATTCGGTTTTCCCTATGTAGTGGCAAATAGCAAATACTTATAAGTAGTAAAGTAGGTAAGTAGCCTTGTCCGAGCCAGAATGGCCCATAGAGCAGGAGCATATTTCCTGTTTCTGTAACCTAAGACAGTTTGATGTACAAGTACTCTCTATGGACAGGACGCTAGTCTATCGCAGGGCCTACTTATAAGGGACAACATAAATAATAATTCAGTATATTGCAGGGTGGCACAAAATATCTATTGATAGTTTTGATTTTGGTACCTTTCTTCATTTCCTACATTTCCCAGTCTACCATAGTGGCAGGAAGACAGAGTTCCAACCAGAATGGGAACCCCTCTCACCAGATATGTTCCACACAGACCACTGTGAGTAGAACTGTTTTGATATAGCTGTTTCAGTCTGTAGCTAGTCCACTGAGTTTAATGACTGTCCCTGTTTCTGTCTGCGTGTGACCTTCTGTTCTAGATTATTTTTGTGTGTGCTACATGTCCATGTCTGTATGTCTGTTCCTGCATCTTTGTATCTTTTGCGTCTTTATGACTTGATTATATCTAGGGCATGTTCATGAGTGGGCAACCTTACAGAACATTCATAAAATAAACATATTGTGCTGAACAGATATGATTGAAATTGTGTTAGTTCTTCTACAAGTTATAGTCATTACAGTACACCCCTGTCCTCCTCTCCAAGGTAAACCTGGCCACACCTCCAGCAGTGGCCCAGCTAATCAGCAGAGTCCAGAGTGTTAGCTCCGCCCCCACCTGTATCCCCCAGCAGGCTGTGCTCCTAGGCAACGCCTCCAGCCTCGTCCTCACCGCCAGCCAAGCTCAGATGTATCTGCGGGCTCAGATGGTAAGGGAATAGCACGCACACACATTCCACATTTGTCATACCTATTTCACCACTGATTGAATGGTCAATAGTCATCTCCTCTCCACACAACTAGATGGGCCCTCTTCATCTGAATAGTGAAGGAAAGTTTTGATGTTTTTATTCCGGAAAACTGCGCAACTGCTCAATCTAATCAAATCAAATCAAATGTTATTGGTCGCATACATGTTTAGCAGATGTTATTGCGGGTGTAGCGAAAGGCTTGTGTTCCTAGCTCCAACAGTGCAGTAATATCTAACAATACACTATGGTAAACCGTGGGGTGTTGGGTTGAGTGCACAGAGACGGACACAGAGACAGGGAGGTTCTAGTTAGAAAACACGACTTTACTAGCAACGTAACAACAAAATAACTTAGGTTTGGCTCGGCCCTTCTTCTCATATTCGGCTCCGTGCCTCCGGGAGCTTCGTTCCCCTCTGTAGGCTCACTCCTTGTCTCTCTCTTTTTCTCTCCCGCGGTGTGCCACGGTGCTCCATTTATATGGCCTGCACGGCTGGTTGGCACTCTCCCCTAATTACCCCTACTTGGTACCATCAGCGTCGGGGTGCCCAGCCCGGGTACCCCCAACAGAGGGAGCCAACATCACGGCACGTACCTCCCCTCTATCACCAACCCCCGGGGAAGAGCTCCCAGGATACCACAACACACAAATCGAAAAGTAAAATAATGTAATTAAGAAATATATAAATATTAGGACTAGCAATGTCGGAGTCCGGAGTATGAATTAATATATATATATATATATATATTATATTTCATTATTAATTATTGCCTTATTCTAAAATTGATTAAATCGTTTTTTTCCCCTAATCAATCTACACACAATACCCCATAATGACAAAGAAAAAACAGGTTCTTAGAAATGTATGTTAATTTATTATAAATAAAAAAACGAAATATTACATTTACACAAGTATTCAGACCCTTTACTCAGTACTTTGATGAAGCACCTTTGGCAGTGATTACAGCCTTGAGTCTTCTTTGGTATGACGCTACAAGCTTGGCACACCTGTATTTGGGGAGTTTCTCCCATTCTTCTCTGCAGATCCTCTCAAGCTCTGTCAGGTTGGATGGGGAGTTTCGCTGCACAGCTATTTCAAATCAAATTTTATTGGTCACATACACATATTTAGCAGATGTTATTGCGAGTGTAGCGAAATTCTTGTGTTCCTAGCTCCAACAGTGCAGTAGTATCTAACAATTCACAACAATACACACAAATCTAAAAGTAAAAGAATGGAATTAAGAAATATATAACTATTAGGACAAGCAATATCGGAGTGGCATTGACTAAAATACAGTAGAATAGAATAGAGTATATACATATGAGATGAGTAAACCAGTATGTAAACATTATTAAAGTGACTAGTGTTCCATTATTAAAGTGGCCAGTGATTCCATGTCTATGTGCAGTGCCTTCGGAAAGTATTCAGACCCCTTGACTTTTTCCACATTTTGTTACGTTACAGCCTTATTCTAAAATGGATAAAATAAATACAAATCCTCAGCAATCTACACACAATAACCCATAACGACAAAGCGAAAACAGGTTTTTAGAAATGTTAGCAAATGTATTACAAATAAAAAACAGAAATACCTTATTTACATAAGTAGTCAGACCCTTTGCTATGAGACACGAAATTGAGCTCAGGCGCACCCTGTTTCCATTGATCATCCTTGAGATGTTTCTACAACTTGATTGGAGTCCGCCTGTGTTAAATTCATTTGGATCAAGGCAAAGATGAACGGAGCAAAGTACAGCGAGATCCTTTAAACAGGTCAACATTCACAAAGCCGCTGGGCCAGACGGATTACCAGGTTGTGTACTCAAAGCATGCGTGGACCAACTGGCAAGTGTCTTCACTGACATTTTCAACCTCTCCCTGACCGAGTCTGTAATACCTACATGTTTCAAGCAGACCACCATAGTCCCTGTGCCCAAGGAAGCGAAGGTAACCTGCCTAAATGATTACCGCTCCGTAGCACTCACGTCAGTAGCCATGAAGTGCTTTGAAAGGCTGGTCATGGCTCACATCAACAGCCTCATCCCGGATACCCTAGACCCACTCCAATTCGCATATCGCCCCAACAGATCCACAGATGACGCAATCTCAATCGCACTCCACACTGCCCTTTCCCACCTGGACAAAAGGAACACCTATGTGAGAATGCTGTTCATTGACTACAGCTCAGCGTTCAACACCACAGTGCCCACAAAGTTCATCACTAAGCTAAGGACCCTGGGACTAAACACCTCCCTCTAACTGGATCCTGGACTTCCTTACGGGCCGCCCTCAGGTGGTAAGGGTAGGCAACAACACGTCTGCCACGCTGATCCTCAACACTGGGGCCCCTCAGGGGTGCGTGCTTAGTCCCCTCCTGTACTTCCTGTTCACCCACGACTATGTGGCCAAACACGACTCCAACACCATCATTAAGTTTGCTGACAACACAACAATGGTAGGCCTGATCACCGACAACGATGAGACAGCCTATAGGGAGGAGGTCAGAGACCTGGCAGTATGGTGCCAGGACAACAGCCTCTCCCTCAATGTGAGCAAGACAAAAGAGCTGATCGTGGACTATAGGAAAAGGCGGGCTGAACAGGCCCCCATTAACATCGACAGGGCTGTAGTGGAGCGGGTCGAGTTTCAAGTTCCTTGGTGTCCACATCACCAACAAACTATTGTGGTCCAAACACACCAAGACAATTGTGAAGAGGGCACGACAACACCTCTTCCCCTTCAGGAGACTGAAAAGATTTGGCATGGGTCCCCAGATCCTCAAAAAGTTATACAGCTGCACCATCGAGAGCATCCTGACCGGTTGCATCACTGCCTGGAATGGCAACTGCTGTGCATCTGATCGTAAGGTGCTACAGAGGGTAGTGCATACGGCCCAGTACGTCACTGGGGCCAAGCTTCCTGCCATCCAGGACCAATATACTAGGCGGTGTCAGAGGAAGACTCCAGTCACCCAAGTCATTGACTGTTCTCTCTGCTACTCTGTCAGAGTGACCATTGGGTTCTTGGTCATCTCCCTGACAAAGGCCCTTCTCCTCCGATTGCTCAGTTTGGCCGGGTGGCCAGCTCTAGGAAGAGTCTTGGTGGTTCCAAACTCTTCCATTTAAGAATGATGGAGGCCACTGTGTTCTTGGGGACCTTCAATGCTGCAGACGCTTTTTTGGTACCCTTCCCCAGAGCTGTGCTTCGACACAATCCTGTCTCGGAGCTCTACGGACAATTCCTTCGACCTCATGGCTTGGTTTTTGCTCTGACATGCACTGTCAACTGTGGGACCTTATTTAGACAGGTGTGTGCCTTTCCAAATCATGTACAATCAATTGAATTTACCACAGGTGGACTCCAATGAAGTTGTAGAAACACCTCAAGGATGATCAACGGAAACAGGATGCACCTGATCTCAATTTCTAATCTCATAGCAAAGGGTCTGACTACTTATGTAAATATTTTTTATTTGTAATACATTTGCTAACATTTCTAAAAACCTGTTTTCGCTTTCTCAAAATGGTCTATTGTGTGTAGATTTGAGGATTTTTTTTTTGGTAATCAATTTCAGAATAAGGCTGTAACGTAACAAAATGTGGGAAAAGTGGTCTGAATACTTTCCGAATGCACTGTATAGACATTATGGACAGTATGTGGATAGAATATATAGTATATCTCAAGAATACGTAGGATAGAATAGTATATGTACAGCAATAGTTGAATAGGATTGACTTGACTAGAATACAGTACTCTATGTTTTCCATATGATTTAATATGATGATTTCCTTCATGTGGCCAGGGTATAGATATGTGGCACAGCAGAGGGTAATTTAGAAGGAAAACAAGACTCAAGACTTGAGTGTCAGTTATGTTTTTACTAGCAGAAATACTGAGATTCCTCGTAGAATTTTTTGGACTGGAGCCATAATGTGTAGTAATGTTTTTTTTTGACAACTCTTTCCTCTCTGAAACCATCAAGCATCCTTGAGTTGCTATCCATCTTAGATCAGAATAACACGGCACAACGCTGCACATGGCTGGTCTTGTTCAAAATCAAATTGCTGCCAGGAAAGAAAATGCCTTAGCCATGTAGTTCATGGATGGCGAGATTCAGTTGAAAGAGCTTTATTACTGTAATGTTTTGGCTTAAATAGCTCAGTGGGATAACACCAATCTTAGCTGAGGGCTTAGCTGGTCCTGATTTGGAGCAGTGTTAGTGGCAATATTTTTTTGTTCTTTGTCCTCCCAGCTCATCTTCACCCCAACTGCAGCTGTTGCCACTGTCCAATCAGCAGCCTCGTCACAGTCCGCCATCAACCAACAGTCTGCTAGTGCACAGGTAATATTCACCACACACAACATGCATATGCATATGCATTCACAACCTCAATGAGCACACACATGCACAGACACAGGTGCACACATTACCACACAACACACATACACACCAAACATGTATACCATGGATGCTATGGGAGAATCCTATTGCTCGCCTCCTCTCCTCCGTCTCCGAGGAGAGGAAACATGAGCTTGTATGAATTGAGACGGTCCTTCTCCACTCACGCGTCATCAGGCAAATTACGTTTACAAGGGCGGAATCCCAAAATAAATGTGTAAAGTCATAAAAACAAATGTAGCTAGTTGTGCAAGACATTTTATAGATAAACGGATAAGTAAAATATTGTTTTTAAATGTGTACACGTTTCTCCTCTGAGAAAACAAGAGCTGATTCAAAGGGGGTGTGGTGGATTTCAAAACGCTTCTGCACTAAGGAGCCGAGAGGATACACTTGTGCATCCTCGGTGGGAGGAGGCTATCGAGGAGGGGAGGACACTCCTTTGCAGTGGTGTAGTTCTATAAAAAAATGTAGGTGAAGAAGCGCCATATCTTTTTTTTATGACATCAGAATTTCTCAAAGTTTGTAGCCTACTGACAGATGTAGCCTATTGAATATCATTGTATAATATACCTATGCATAACATGCTTCATCCAATTGCAACGTCTGCCTATGCCCACACATTGACTCAAGAATATTTGCTATTTTTAATACCCCCAAACACTGTTAGGCATACCTCATTTCAAAATAGGCCATCATCTCTGTCAATCTTGAATGATAATTATATACGTTTTACCGGTGAAATTTCTAAACTGCATGCCAATAATTTGATCTCAATCAGTTTCATGGGAATATGCATTTAGATCTTCTTGAATGTCTTTTGTGAGTGAAGCCCTTTCCTGCAGTCAAATGACCAAATCGCCCTCTAGTGGCCACATGGGTGGAATGTTATTAATATTTTCATAATTGTATCATTAATTTAAAAAAAATTTAAACCACTGGAAATTCTGTATTTCTATGTAAAGCGATTTTGTTATATTTCAGACTTCTGTGATGTATATAAAGTGTAATTGTAATGAATACTCAGGGAGAAAAAGGTGTAGATTCACACGCAGAACGCGGCAGGTGTTTATTTTGCCGTCGCAGAAGGCAGGAATCGTGGTCACAGGCAGGTGAATCAAACTAGGACTGAAGGCTATAACTGGTTCTCACAAACAAGCTAGGAAAAGAGTCAAAACGAACAATACCTCACAAGGCACAAACAGAATGAACTGAACTAAATAAGGAGCTGATGAGACCAGGTGAGTAACAAACACAGGTGAAATCAATGAACAAAAATGAAAGACAGGGCTATGTTCAAGAACACAAAGAAACAGGGCTACGTTCAAGAACACAAGGTGAACTAAGAAAATAAATACAGCACCTTACAGTATGGCCTGAATGGCGTAGGCAGGTTCCCCTCCAATGTCCAATGGTGGGGGCGCACTGCGGGTTGAGACTGGAGGATGAAGAGGACTGTAGGTGACCGGTTTTAACAGAGACACATGGAAGGACGAGGAGATTTTATACGGACGCGGTAACTGGAGGCGGTACGTGACAGGGTTGATGCGATGGGTTATCTTGAAGGGACCAATGAAGCGAGGACAGACGTTTTAGCAGGGGAGGCGGAGCCAGATGTCTCTGGTAGAGAGACACACACGCTGTCCGGGGTGAAAGAGTGACGTAGGTCGGCGGCGTCTGTCGGCAAAGCGTTTCTGGGTATTAGAGGCTTCCTGCAGATGGCGGTGAGCGGTCTCCCATACCCGCTCACTATTCCGAAACCAGTCGCCGACAGCTGGGACAGTACCAGGCTCCGCCTCCCAGGGAAACATGGGGGGTTGGTAACCAGGGACGGCTTGTTCAATAGGGCGATATGGGCGACGCACTGCCAAACGGGAAAAGGAAGGGATTTTTTTTCTAATCAATTATATCACGGCAACAGCAGTTATCAGTGTTCACGTCTGATCTGCCAGCCACTAAATGTCAAATCAGGCTAAAGTCGTGCTTCAAATGGCCCCGCCCGTTTTTGGGGCGATTTCAGTCAAGTTGAAAATCGCCCAGAAGTCTCTCATAGCCTGTCATGTAAAATCTATTTTTTTCACATTTCAAAGCTTTCAATACATTCTCTATGGGTGTCTGTGGGCTTGCACTTACGCGCTTTCGTCATACGTGACGTAACGTTGAACGTAACTAAGACAATGGCGGCTAGCATGGTCTCTGTTGCGACCTGCAGTGCGACGTTATTTTATGTTTTTAATTTGTAGACTTAGTTTACAAACATTCTGCCAACCATGGATTTCCAGTGGTTGGTTTTGGACTGATCTTGTTGATCGTGTACATACCCGCTACGAACGGACTAAATAATGAAAACGCTGCTGGCAGCGGAATCCCAATACAGCTGGGAGACTTGGCTGGATGACAGAGTCCCGGACCGCGATCCTGGTAAGAGAGCGACTCTGTACCCCGACATTGAACTGCTTTCTGTGTCATTGCGACCTTACTATCAATTCAATTCAATTTAAGGGCTTTATTGGCATGGGAAATGTGTGTTAACATTGCCAAAGCAAGGGAAGTAGATAGTAAACAAAAGTGAAATAAACAATAAATATTAACAGTAAACATTACACTCAGAAGTTTCAAAAGAATAAAGACATTTCAAATGTCATATTATGTATATATACAGTGTTGTTACAATGTGCAAATAGTTAAAGTACAAATGGGAAAATAAATAAACATAAATATGGGTTGTATTTACAATGGTGTTTGTTCTTCACTGGTTGCCCTTTTCTTGTGGCAACAGGTCACAAATCTTGCAGCTGTGATGGCACACTGTGGTTTTTCACCCAGTAGATAAGGGAGTTTATCAAAATTGGGTTTGTTTTCGAATTCTTTGTGGATCGCTGTAATCTGAGGGAAATATGTGTCTCTAATATGGTCATACATTTGGCAGGAGGTTAGGAAGTGCAGCTCAGTTTCCACCTCATTTTGTGGGCAGTGTGCACATAGCCTGTCTTCTCTTGAGAGCCAGGTCTGCCTACGGCGGCCTTTCTCAATAGCAAGGCTATGGTCACTGAGTCTGTACATAGTCAAAGCTTTCCTTAAGTTTGGGTCAGTCACAGTGGTCAGGTATTCTGCCACTGTGTACTCTCTGTTTAGGGCCAAATAACATTCTAGTTTGCTCTGTTTTTTTGTTTGTTCTTTCCAATGTGTCAAGTAATTCTCTTTTTGTTTTCTCATGATTTGGTTGGGTCTAATTGTGTTGTTGTTGTTGTTGTTGTCCTGGGGCTGTGTGGGGTCTGTTTGTGTTTGTGAACAGAGGCCCAGGACAAGCTTACTTAGGGGACTCTTCTCCAAGTTCATCTCTCTGTAGGTGATGGCTTTGTTATGGAAGGTTTGGGAATCGCTTCCTTTTAAGTGGTTACTATCTGCCCCGTGAGTTCCCCCAATTGTTTGTTACCGTTGTGTACTGTTGATAATCACAAGTTTACTGGAGAACTGAGACCAAGTAGAGACTTTGGACAGGGTGGATGAGGTAAAGATATCTGGAATCGCGTGCACGGACTCGTTCGTCAAACTCTTAGGGAGAAGAGAGCCCCGAAAACATTGTGTGCAGACATTTTATACAATAAATTATGTAGGTTGAATCTAGTAGTTCTGATCTTCTGATTGGTCCTGATGAGTTGGGCGAGACCCCTCCACTGTTGCATTGGCTCTGAGTCGGGTTCTCTGTCTTCAAATGTTCAGCCTAAAGAGAGGGGATTTTTGTGTGTGTGTGTGTGTGTGTGTGTTTAACAGTGATGATGTGTGTGTGTGTGTGTGTTATCAGTGATGTGTGTGTGTGTGTGTGTGTGTGTGTGTCCTCAGAGCAAGAACTCGTGAGTTGGAAGAACTGAGAGACCTATGGCGTGGGTGTTGTCCTTGGCCACCTGCTGACAAGGCTGACAAGATAGGACTCTTTTGTCCATTGTTATAGGATAGGAACAGCATTGATTGAAAACAAACGCCCAACACAAAATGGGTCATGCACAAGATTTTAGTCAGACCAAGCTATAACATTATATATTTACTACGACAGTACATTCAACCAAAAGCTAATATAACAAAGGCATCAGAGATTATTTATAATCTGTCACAGAAACTGGAATCCATCTCCCCAGATCAGTCAATAAATGCTTCTGGTATTGACTTATATGCTGCCCCTGTCTTCATGTTGTTGCTGGACATATCTTTTTTTAAATGTGTGTAGGTCACCTAAATCATCAGAAAAATTGCCCCTCCTGAGAATTTTTTCAGGAGCCGCCACTGTTGGTAACCAAGTACACACTGAAACGGAGTAAGGCGGAGGGATGAATGCCTGAGTGAGTTCTGAGTGTATTCGGCCCAGGCCATATACCGACTCCAGTCGTGTGGAGAGGCAGAACATTGTTGGCGGAGTAACTTCCCTATTTCTTGGTTCAGGCGTTCCGTCTGCCCATTGGTCTGGGGATGGTACCCAGAGGAGAGGCTGAGGGCGACCCCCAGTTGGTCACAGAAGGCTCGCCACACCTGGGAGACAAACTGTGGCCCGCGGGTCAGAGACGATGTCCTTCGGAATCCCATACAGATGGAACACACACACTCAGCCACTTCCATGGCATTAGGTAAATGAGGAAGAGGAACCTGATTACACATTTTTGAAAAACGGTCTACTATGACAAGGATGGTGGTGCTACCAGAGGATTCAGGAACGTCTGTGATGAATTCAACAGCTATGTGGGACCAGCGTCTGTGAGGGATTGGCAAAGGTTGAAGCTTACCGGAAGGGAGATGACGAGGGCTTTTGGTTTGGGTGCAGACTGGACAGGAGAGTACGTAATCCCTTACATCGGATGCCAGTGAGGACCACCAGAACTTAAGGGCTAGAAGTTCGGTGGTTCGTGTAATGCCCGGATGTCCTGACCCCAAGGACGTGTGACACCATTGCATCAGTTGGGGTCTAACAGCTGCTGGTACGTAACTCTTCCCAGCTGGTGTCGCAGGAGGAGCCGGGTCTGAGGTTAGGGCTTCTTGAATGGCAGAGTGAACCTCCCACTGTACCGGTCCCATAATGCAAGAGGAAGGAAGAATGGCTGTAGGGTCTGACTTACTGGTCAGAAGGTCAAACTGGCGGGAGAGAGAGAGAATCAGCTTTTACGTTTTTCTTTCCATGGATGTAAGTAACATGAAAATGGAAGCATGTGAAGAAGAGAGCCCAGCGGGCTTGTCTGGAGTTTAACCTCTTGGCCCCTCTGATATATTCCAGATTACAATGATCTGTTAGGACGAGAAAGGGATGATGTGCGCCCTCCAATCAGTGGCGCCACTCCGAGGGCCAGCTTGATGGCGAGAAGTTCTCTGATCCCCACATCGTAATTCCTCTCAGCGGAGCATAACGTCCTGGGAAAGAAGGCACAGGGATGTGATTTTGGAGGTGTTCCCACCCGCTGAGAGAGTATGGCTCCTATTCCTACATTCGGAGGCATCCACCTCCAGGGTGAAAGGAAGGGTCGGATCATGTTGGCGAAGGACAGGAGCTGAGGTGAAGAGGCGTTTCAAGGTGTTGAAAGCATTCAGGGCGGTATCAGTCCACTGAAGGGTCCGGGTCTTTTGGCTGGTAAGGGCAGTGAGGGGAGCGGCAGTAGAACTGAAGTTCCGAATGAACCGCCGATAGTAGTTGGAGAACCCAATGAAATGTTGGAGTTCCTTAACGGTGGTGGGTTTGGGCCAGTTACTGACGGCGGTGACTTTGTTCTCATCCATGCTGACCCCTCCAGGTGTCAGTACGAAACCGAGGAAGTTTACCGAGGTTACATGGAAGGTGCTCTTTTCAGTCTTCACATAAAGGTTATGGTCGAGCCATTGAAGAACCTTTTGTGCATGCTGGATGTGTTCCTCCAGGGCCTCCTGTAGCTCAGTTGGTAGAGCATGGCTCTTGCAACGCCAGGGTTGTGGGTTCGATTCCCACGGGGGGACAGTATAAAAAATGTATGCACGCACTAACTGTAAGTCGCTCTGGATAAGAGCGTCTGCTAAATGACATAAATGTAAAATGTAAATGAGTAAATCAGGATGTCATCAATGTAGATGATGAGAAAGCGGTTGATCATATCCTGGAAAACCTCGTTCATAAAGGATTGGAAGACGGCGGGGGCGTTAGTGAGGCCGTAGGGCATGACCAGGTATTCGTAGTGCCCTTGTGCAGTGATAAAGGCCGTCTTCCATTCCTCGCCTTCACGTATACGGACAAGGTTATATGCATTTCACAGGTCAAGTTTTGTATAGATGTTGGCGCAGCCCACTTGTTCAAGGGTCGCTGGGATCAGAGGAAGAGGGAAACGGTTCTAGACTGTGACGTCATTCAGGGAACGGTAATCAATACATAGACGGAGACCACAGTCCTTTTTTTCAAGGAAGAAGAAGCTGGACGCAGCCGGGGAAGAAGAAGGACAAATGAAACCGTTTGAGTGCTTCATCAATGTAGTTCTCCATTGCCTCATTTTTCGGGATAGATAGGGGGTAAACACGGCCCGTCGGTGGAGACACTCCAGGGAGTAAATCAATTGCACAGTCCCCTGGGCGATGTGGTGGCAGAGTGGAGGCCTTGATTTTGCTGAAGACATTGGTGTACTGGACGTATTCAGATGGTATGGTGGGTGGCACTGCAGAGGCAGAGTCCTCAATGGTGGTGGCTCTGCAGGGTAGGCTGAGACAACTGGTGAAGCAGGCAGAAGACCAGGACAGTAGTTCACCTTGTCGGCACGAGATGGCAGGGTCGTGACGACAAAGCCAGGGGTGTCCGAGGATGAGTGGCTGTTTGGGGGATGAGAGTTCCATGAGTTGATTGGTTTCGGTGTGGAAGACTCCAATCTGGAGGGTGATGCTCTGTGTCAGGTGCGTAATGAAGCCAGTGCCCAATGGCTGCCCGTCCAGGGCGTTAATCCTTAAGGGAGGGGTGACAGGTGTTAGATCAATGTCAAGCTCTTGTACTAGCTGGTGATCGATAAAATTACCTGCTGCTCACGAATCTATCAAGCCCTCTACGTACTTAGTAACACCCTTCACGGTTATCAATACCAGGATGGAGAATTGCTTCTGGGAGATATTGAGAAATAAGGACACGCCTACCAGCATGGCAGCAGAGGGACCCTTCTCATCTCTCCGCGGGGGGCGAACAGGGCAATGGCTGAGTAGATGATCGTTCCCTCCACAGTATAGGCAGAGCCCTTCTTGGATCCGCCTTTGACGTTCGATACACGGGAGAGGAGCATGGCCCAACTGCATGGGCTCTGGAAGACTCGGACGGGATGACGGAATCATGGAAAGAGAAGGTTTCGGGTTCCTGGGTGGCAGAGTTCTTCAGCGGTCGGCGAGGAGGTGGTCGATGGAGATGGACATAAGAATGTATTGATTTAAATCCTGAAGGTCACCTCTACAGGCCAGCTCCGCCTGAAGTTCCCTGTTGAGCCCTGTTCGGTAGACGGTAAGTAAAGCAGCCTCACTCCATCCACTCCCTGCAGCCATGGTGCGGAACTCAAGGGCATACTCGACAGCTGAATTGCGTCCTTGTTGAAGGTCTATGAGGAGGTCTCCTATAGGACGACCGGAAGGAGAGTGATCGAATACCTCTTTGAAGAGGGTGTGGAAATGGGTCTTGGATCCGAGTTCTGTGCTGTTGGCAGTCCATATGGCGGTGGCCCAATCCAGGGCTTTGCCTGTGAGTAGAGACACAACAAAATCCACCCTGCTCTTGTCGGTGGCGAAGTTAGTGGGGTTGTGCTCAATGTATTTGTTGCATTGCATCAGAAATCCCTGACATTTCCCAGGTGAACCGTCATATTTTCCAGGCATGGATATGAATGAAGGAGGGCTATGGGTTACAATACCTGGCATCAGAGGAGTAGGGATACGCTGGCGGAGAAGATGGCAGATTTCCTCCATACGCTCCTCTTGCTGGGTTAGGCGCTGCTGTAGCTCCGCTGAATCCATTCCGTTTTTAGATGAAGTATTCTGTAATGAATAATCAGGGAGAAAAAGGTGTAGATTCACGCGCAGAGCAAGGCAGGTGTTTATTTCGCAGGAATCATAGCCACAGGCAGGTGAATCAAACTAGGACTGAAGGCTATAACTGGTTCTCACAAACAAGCTAGGAAAAGGCTTAGTTGAGTCAACACGAACAATACCTCATAAGGCACAAACAGAATGAACTGAACTAAATAAGGAGCTGATGAGACCAGGTGAGTAACAAACACAGGTGAAATCAATAAACAAAATGAAAGACAGGGCTATGTTCAAGAACACAAAGAAACAGGGCTATGTTCAAGAACACAAGGTGAACTAAGAAAATACAGTTGAAGTCAGAAGTATACATACACCTTAGACAAATACATTTTCCACAATTCCTGACATTTAATCCTAGTAAATATTCCCTGTTTTAGGTCAGTTAGGATCACCACTTTATTTTAAGAATGTGAAATGTCAGAATAATAGTAGAGAGAATGACTTATTTCAGCTTTTATTTCTTTCATCACATTCCCAGTGGGTCAGAAGTTTACATACACTCAATTAGTATTTGGTAGCATTGCCTTTAAATTGTTTAACTTGGGTCAAACATTTCGGGTAGCCTTCCATGAGCTTCCCACAATAAGTTGGGTGAATTTTGGCCCATTCCTCCTGACAGAGCTGGTGTAACTGAGTCAGGTTTGTAGGCCTCCTTGCTTTCACACGCTTTTTCAGTTCTGCCCACACATTTTCTATAGGATTGAGGTCTTTGTGATGGCCACTCCAATATCTTGACTTTGTTGTCCTTAAGCCATTTTGCCACAACTTTGGAAGTATGCTTGGGGTCATTGTCCATTTGGAAGACCCATTTGCGACCAAGCTTTAACTTCCTGACTGATGTCTTGACATGTTGCTTCAATATATCCACATCATTTTCCTTTCTCATGATGCCATCTATTTTGTGAAGTGCACCAGTCCCTCCTGCAGCAAAGCACCCCCACAGCATGATGCTGCCACCCCCGTGCTTCACGGTTGGGATGGTGTTCGTCGGCTTGCAAGCCTACCCCCTTTTCCTCCAAACATAACGATGGTCATTATGGCCAAACAGTTCTATTTTTGTTTCATCAGACGAGAGGACATTTCTCCAAAAAGTACGATCTTTGTCCCCATGTGCAGTTGCAAACCGTAGTCTGGCTTTTTTATGGCGGTTTTGGAGCAGTGGCTTCTTCCTTGCTGAGCGGCCTTTCAGGTTATGTCGATATAGGACTCTAGGTTTTACTGTGGATATTGATACTTTTGTACCTGTTTCCTCCAGCATCTTCACAAGATCCTTTGCTGTTGTTCTGGGATTGATTTGCACTTTTCACACCAAAGTACGTTCATCTCTAGGAGACAGAACGCGTCTCCTTCCTGAGCGGTATGATGGCTGCGTGGTCCCATGGTGTTTATACTTGCGTACTATTGTTTGTACAGATGAATGTGGTACCATCAGGCGTTTGGAAATTGCTCCCAAGGATGAACCAGACTTGTGGTGGTCTACAATTTATTTTGGGAGGTCTTGGCTGATTTCTTTTGATTTTCCCATGATGTCAAGCAAAGAGGCACTGAGTTTGAATGTAGGCCTTCAAATACATCCACAGGTACACCTCCAATTGACTCAAATGATGTCAATTAGCCTATCAGAAGCTTCGAAAGCCATGACATCATTTTCTGGAATTTTCAAAGCTGTTTAAAGGCATAGTCAATTTAGTGTATGTAAACTTCTGACCCACTGGAATTGTGATACAGTGAATTATAAGTGAAATAATCTGTCTGTAAACAATTGTTGGAAAAATTACTTGTGTCATGCACAAAGTAGATGTCCTAACCAACTTGCCAAAACTATAGTTTGTTAACAAGAAATGTGTGGAGTGGTTGAAAACGAGTTTTAATGACTCCAACCTAAGTGTATGTAAACTTCCAACTTCAACTGTAAATACAGAACCTTACAGTAATATTGGGATGCAAACTCAAAATTGAATACATTTTTGACTTTTTTTAAGCCCATAACCATGCGTGTGAGGTGTATACTTTTGTTTCAAAGTAGATTTGTTTGACTACCAGGAAACACTCTGTGTGACCATGATTCATCCTACTACAGTAAAATGATAACTGTAGGCATGTGTGCAGAGGCCCATCGGTCGGAGGCTTGACCACTTTGAGTGGGCAAAATCCAACGTAATAAAAACTGCCACAGACAGAGAACTCTAACAGGGCTTGCTAAAATGGCTGTCCTCAAAACAGTTTGTTATGGACTTGGGGCGCATGTACAACGCACTTGAACTCGCTCTACTGTCGGAGTGCTTAGCTTACAGAAACGTACCACCTCAATTGCATATGTAGACAAACTGATCCACCGCATGAACCTTTCATCACACCAACGAGATATAGGAATCAATTTCACTGCGTGTCTGCCTTGATGTTCATAAAACTCCACGGACCCCCTCTTGCGCAGTGGAATCCAGAACAATATGTGACCAGTTCGTTACGGTGCTGCCCGATTCGAAGGGCGCTCAAATCAATTAAAACAACCCTCTTCAAGATCTGTTGCCTACGCCTAATAGTCCTATTACAAATAGAAGATTATCACTTCTCAAAGTGGTGCTCGTTTAGTAAAGCTGAATCAATGTCTCGCAAGATCACATAATGATTAATTTGTATTTTACATGACAGAGACGAATATAATAGCATATACTGTTGCATAGTAGGTCTATAATATGATACACCAAAAGCACCTGCTCAGTCATTTCTTATCTGAAGCTGAATAGTCAAAGAAAAAAACACATGCGGACAAAACTCAACAGAGCGCTCCACTAGGCAGGATATATGCTTTGATTGAAACAAAATAGGCCTACAAGAAAGGCTAATAGTTTGTTAACACCATCTGCTCTATGGTGCTTTGAAGACAACTGGGAATTGGGGAAAAAATTGGGAAAATCATGACGTCAGTGATCTTCAGGTCGGAAAGTCGGAGTTCTAGAAAGACGCCCGAGTTTACTACTTGGAATTCCAAGTTGGATGACCGTTCAAAACGTTTTTCCGGTCTGAGCTGTTTTTTTTTCATGAGTTCCCAGTTGTCTTGAACGCAAGTCAGAAGTCGGAGCTTTCCGTGTTCCGTTGTTTTGAACACGGCATTACTCATCATTCGCGCCACTGCCAGAGAGCGAGAAGACAGGGAAGAAACATTTACCTACAGATGTAGGATCTCCTTAATTTGATCATTCTTTTATTGCTAAGAATTTTCCTGTAAAGCAGGAAATGCAAACTTGTAGTGCATTTGAGTTTTAAAAGTCTTCTAAAGATTGCAATTTCCACTATGAAATTTCAGACTTGATTTGCCCTAACGAAACATTTATCAACCCCTACAGAAATTCCATTAATTATAATCCACAAATTAATTCACATTTCCTGTTGCTACAGTATTATTTCCTGCTGTAGCAAACTGGCTCAAATTAAGATCCTACATCTGTATCTATAGGCTGCTATAGCCTAGAGATGTATTTTGTTTGTCATTCTATCGTTTTCATGGAATTTTTGTGGTGATTAAATATAATTTATTTAGAATTTATCCGAATTAATTTTCCATATATATATTTACCAGCTCTGTCTATTCTCAAATTGAAAAAAGTGAGGGAACGCTGCTCCCCGCACCATGACAGCACTACTCCCTGCTCCTTTGTTTGCCTACTAACGAATTGGCCCTCTCCTCGACCACTCATCTGTTTCCGGGTCACAGAGGACAGAGGAGTTGAGGAGAGAACAGACTTTTGCCCAATTGGGATTCTTCCTATGATGTCGTTTTAAATCTCCTGTTCCTCATAGGTGCAGAACCTTGCCATCTGTAGCCAGCAGGGGGCTCCCTCCTCCTCTCAGCTCCAGGGCCTTCGTCTCAAACAGATGTCTGGAGGGGCCCAGGTCTACCTGGCTGGCCAGCTCAGGGGTCCCACCCATGGGCCACAGGGAGCCCAACTGGGGCCCCTGGAGGCCCCATCAGAGGGAGGGCAGAAAGGTGAGGGCCACTTGGTGACCGTGAGCCGCAGTGTGATGGCCGTCAGCAGTCACCCCCTCATCATCCCAGGTAGGCCACACTCAAAGCGCCCTGTTCAAGTTAGCATAAAAAATAAGCATAGGTTTAATAGCATGAATGTTATATAAGCCTGAATGTGGGTGGAGTATGATGACACCAACTCTGTTTCATAAACATGATAACTGTAGTGCATGTAGCCGGAGCCAGGGCAGGGCACTGTTGATTTTAGACTTTTGCTATAGATAAATCAAATTTCACACACAGTTAGGGCAAGTCTAAAGAGGTGTTTTTACCTTACAATTTTGTCAAAAGGCACTTCCATAACCTTGTCTCCACTATAGGTCCTTTTGATTTCTATTTCCATACCACATCACCAGGCTGGCACAGGGCTGTCTATCAGACCTATCCAAGAGAAGGCTTTACTGTAAATGCAGGCCAGCCCTTCAATAGACTGCCAGCCCTATCCACGTGGACCCACTTACATAGGAAATGTATTATTATTACAGGACGTAAAGAGGAAATGGCCTAAGATCAGACAGCAAGCCTCAGCCAGACCCCAGTGACAGCTCCTATACTGAGCAAATATGGCAGAGAGGGGTTCTAAAAGTATCTTAATGGCAAGAGGACTGACAGCTTCAAAACACAGCAGCAGTACACTCAGCTTAATTCCAATATGCAGAGTTCCTTGACTATAACTAGATTTCCAATAGTCCATCAACATCCACCTCAACATTTAACCTCTACTGCTTGTGTGCATTATGTAACACTATGTGCAGTCAGTAATCGAATTGCGTCCTTCAATCTACTTACTGTCAAAATGCTTTAGAAATTTGGACACTGTTATAAGCTGAAATGTTGCACGAGGAGGAGAGACGTCTCCACTCAATTTTTTTCCTCATGAGGATCTCATTAGTAGTTAGGATAAAAGGGATCTCCTAAACACCATCTTATACAGTCACCTCCTTCCTGCAGCACTAGAGCTTTAAGCAGCCGCCCTAAGCAGAACCAGACTGTTTCCGTAGTGTTGCTAAAGGTGAGGAGGACAAGGCTGCAGTGGAGGCTACGGCTGAAGGCTTGACCCATGGGTCTGAGCTACTCCTAATGAGCTACTTCCAGATGGGGGCTGGCTGGGGGGACGCCCCTCAGCGCCGCACATCTTCCTCTCTGTCACCATGTGCGCACAGGAAACCCTTCCCCCCATCTCAGCATCCAAAATCAATAGATCAGAGGCAGGAACTTCTGTTTCTGATTAAAATGCATGCCACAAGGGGTTGCGCTACTGTTTAATAAAATATGTTTTGGTGGTATTTATTTTTGATTTAGTTACCCTTATGGAAAAACCACATACATTTCACACGTGAACACATGTGAAGTGTTCCAAAAACACATGTTTTCATGTGTCCTTATGTGAAGTTAATGTGATGACATGTAATAACATGAAACTACACATGTGAAAACGTGATTACATGTGAAGTGTCCCAAAAACACATGTTTTTATATGATTTTCACATCAATCATGTTTCTGTAAGGGTTGCGTCTGCTGGGTTATTTTGACAGGCTCAATTGGTGCATGTACGGAACATTGTGTGCTGTATTCAATTATTTATTGAAATGTGTAAAACCAAAAGTAGACTGCGGTCTGGACCCAAAGTCGCAATATTGAATTGGACACAAAACAGTCTGCCCGCAGCTAGCCAGTTTGAAGCTTTTCGACTTGGCAGTGTAACACATGTAAGTGGTGTGTGAATATTGGGGGGAAGGCTGGCACACCGCTTTAAATGAGTTGTCACATAACTAGTGGCTGTAGAATAGTTTCCAGAGAATAATCCCCAAACCACAGCAGAGTGAGTTGTCAAAAATGCCTTCTTCGCTTCCACCAGTTTAGGGCCTGACTGAGGTACTTAGAAATGGTGAAGTAGGCATTCCATGAGTGGACCGCAGCAGAGGAAACCAAGAAGGCTGATGATTACGAGACGTGCTGCCCCTCCAGAAATTATTGCTCTTCATATACAATAGAGGCATCTACTGCACACATTCAATCAAAAGTGATTGGGAGTCATGTATGGAGGACTACAGCTGTTTCACCGCTAGGGCCCATTGGGTTGAGAGTGTCATGTGTAGAATGAGACACAGGTGACTGGATACCTTAACCTAAAGACAGACTCTGTGGTAGCACGATACAAATGTACTGAAGGGGATGTCAAAGGTATTAGCTTTACAGTGTTGGTTGGCATACAGTACATGATTTAAAACTAAGGACTATTTAGTTACAAGTTCGTTTTAGTTTACCATGGTTTTCTGTTAAAGGTCCAGTGCAATCAAAAATGTGATTTTCCAGTGTTTTATATATATTTCCACACTATGATGTTGGAATAATACTGTGAAATTGGGAAAATGACTATAATGCCCATTTAGTGTAAGAGCTGTTTTGGTGGGATGGAGTTTTGGCCTTCCATGGTGACATCACCATGTGGTAAATGAGTTAATAGACGAATAAGAAAGAGAGTTCCAAACCTCTCTGCCAATAACAGAACATTTTCAGTTTTCCCCTCCCCATTCAGACCACTCCCAGACAGTCCTAGCTAAATTCTTGTTGAGAAATTGCCCTTTACTAAGAAGCTATTTTTGTTTATTTTTGACCATTTTTATTGAAAACAATCACAGTGAGGTACTTCATTGTTACCCAGAAATGATTTGATATTGAGATAAAAGCGCCCGCATTGGACCTTTAAGAGACTACTCATGAAATCACAATTTCACTAAAGCAATATTTATTTGTATAGCGCTTTCATGATACTCAAAGACATTCAAAGTCACTAGCCATAACATGGCTTCGATGGTGTTTTGATTTGGGTTTCGCTCTCCTTTAGTGAATGTCCATAGTAACCACAGACTTTTACAAACTGCAGCGCTGGCAAGATTCTGATGTGGAACGGCATCAATGTTTTTGAAAAAGGGAAGCTGTCTTTAAGTGTCCTGTTACTCATACGCCTACGACTACATCAATGGCTCTTTTCCCCAGATGTTTATTTTCTTTAGTTCCACAGACCATGGTAATGTGTTTGGCCTCAGGGCACCTATTGTTTGGCTTATAAACACTTTTTATGAGTGGGAGCCTTAGTCCAGGCTTGACTGACTGAAGCCAAGGATTTGTATTTGTATTTATTACGGATCCCCATTAGCGGCTGCCAAGGCAGCAGCTACTCTTCAAAGGGTCCAACCACAATTTACATACAATAAAACAATACATAACACAACACCTTATTACACACTACTCTACCATAACATATTTACAATACAAAATCAATAATACAGCAAAATAACAATATTAAAATGTGTGTGTGTGTAGAGTGCGTGTGTTAGCATGTGTTTGTGAATGCTGTGTGTGTGCCTGTGTGTGTGTGTGTGTCTCTTCACAGTCCGCGCTGTTCCATAAAGTGTAGTTTTATCTGTTTTTTAAATCTGATTTTACTGCTTGACTGAGTTACATGATGTGGAATAGAGTTCCATGTAGTCATGGCCCTATGTAGTACTGTGCGTTTCCCGTAGTCTGTTCTGGACTTGGGGACTGTGAAGAGACCTCTGGTGGCATGTCTCGAGGGGTATGCATGGGTGTCCGAGCTGTGTGCTAGCATTTCAAACAGACAGCTCGGTACATTCAGCTTGTCTACACCTCTTAAAAAAACAAGCAGTGATGAAGTCAATCTCTCTTCCACTCTAAGCCAGGATGAACATGCCCTGGGGTGTCTGTCTGTTTCGGATGTTATTGCTGTGGTAACCACTGTAAGATATGTCAGAGGCTTTATAGGCTTACTCATTTAGGCTTACTCATTTAGGGACAAATCCTAACTTGAAATGTACACAACTAAGAATTATGTACGAGGGCAGCTACATTTTATTGTTCGTTTTGTGAAAGAAACCTGATATTTCTTAGTTTAAAGCAAAGACTAATGTTGTTTATGTGTTGTTTTTACAGCGTACGCACAAATCCAGACGCACCAGTTTCTGCAGCAGCATAAACAGCAGCAGTTTGTGTTCCAGCAGCAGCGGCACCAGACCCAGCAGCTTTCTCTGAGGGGCCAGGCCCCAGTGCTGCACACAGCCTCCATCCACAGTCACTCTCAGGCCCAGACGCTACAGGCCCTGGCTATCCAGCCCCAGCCCAAGGAGGGCCCTGTCCCTGTGCTGCCCAAACCATTTGTCTCTGCCCTTGTTCCCAGCCAGCAGGCCACCATCTTCCACTCCACCGTCAGTCCCCAGATTTTTACCCACAACGGGTTAACCCCTGTGGTCACCCAGACCCAGGCTGCTCCGCTGCCCAACACCAAGCTAGTGCAGATGGCTGCAGTTGACCTCCAGATCCAACCAACAGCTCCTACACCGGCCTCTCAGCTGGTTCAGGATAGTGCTGGCAAGGAGCTGCCCACATCTGAGGTAGTCATGGAGAACAGCTCCACTCCCCTCATACAGCAGTCAACAGCCCCTCCTATTCTTGAGGTCATCACTATTGAGCAATGCCCATCGGACCCCAGCAACCCAACCACACCCACTGGAGGTAGATATTATATTTTATATGTCACAGGTTGCATCTCAAAGTCATTGGACTTATGGACAACCAGAAGCCCTGATACAGTAATGTGAAGTCCCACCCATCCACTCACTCACTCATTCATTCATTCATTCATTAATTCACTCACTCACTCACTCACTCACTCACTCACTCACTCACTCACTCACTCATGAACTCACTCACTCACTCATGAACTCACTCATGAACTCACTCATGAACTCACTCATTCACTCACCAACCCACGACTCACCATCAACCTACTCACTCACTCACTCACGTCCATCTGTAGGCTTGGGCAGCTCAGGCATAATGGTCATCCCCACTCTAGCGCTCCTCTCAAGCAGAATACTAAATATGTCATGCGCCAGAGGCCATTGTCCTGCCTTGCCACTTGGGGGAACGTGACAGCTTTAGCCAAAATTAGGGGAGAGGGGCCGGGCTTTGTCACTTTCCCCATGAGATAGGGGGGAGAAAGGTTTCAGGCTTTCGCTTCGGTCTTGACAATATATTTCTCAAAAATTGAGGGAATTCGATTATCTGGACCAAGTTGCCCCGGTGGGAAGAGTTTGCACCGGGTGAAAAGTGATTGCATACATTTTTGAACCGGGCTGCCTCCCAGCCGTGAGCCAGGTGCCCGGCGCTGGCCGACGGTCAAGTTGGCTCAAAACAAAAGTGACATTTGTGTTTTCAAATGCAAAAGGGATATTTTGATAAAAACATATATTATGTGGACAATTACTGTTACTGTTCGATTTGAGAAGGGCGCTCCTCCCTCACCACTTTTGCCCGATCCCATCACGGGCCATAGACCGGTGCACCGCGGTTCATTTTAATCAAACGCCACCATTGTGGTAGATTGTACTGGAAAGCATTGTGAGGGGAAAATAGAGTCCGCCAATCCAACCAATCAGAGAGGGAGTTCTTTTGAGATACTCGTCGCCATTGGATCACATTCCAAGTTGTGCGGGCCAATGGTGAGGGTGCTTTATTTCCTAAAGGTGCACTAGTCACATTCACTCAGACATTCAAACATGAATAATGTACTTTCAAGAGGCCAGGAGGCTATTACTCTGCAGATACTGAAGTGGCCACCACTGCCACTTGGCTACTCCGAATCACAGCAGTACACCATGTGATCAGGGCACAATCCTCCTCTATGTGTTACTATTAGGTGGTCATAATTACAACCTTACATTTACATTTTACATTTTAGTAGATGCTCTTATCCAGAGCGACTTACAGTTAGTGAGTGCATACATTATTTTTTTATATTTCTTTTTATACTGGCCCCCCATGGGAAACGAACCCACTACCAACTGAGCCAAATCCCTGCCGGCCATTCCCTCCCCTACCCTGGACCAATTGTGCGCCGCCCCATGGGTCTCCCGGTCGCAGCCGGCTACGACAGAGCCTGGATTCGAACCAGGATCTCTAGTGGCACAGCTAGCACTGCGATGCAGTGCCTTAGACCACTGCGCCACTCGGGAGAACCTTGATCTAGCAAGTCCAGTGATGCCTAAAGCCTTGGTCCAGCCTCAAGCCAAGGCCAGCATGTCTGCTTGTGGACATCTTGTGACAGGCAACTGAGTTTAAAAAAACGTTCTATGTATATGTCATGACATGTAATTAACACAGTCTTTACCATTCATGGTCGTTTTTGACATAATGACAAGTCATGAAAGCGTTGGATGTCCTATACCTCTAGCCCCATAGCTCACAAGTTGAGAAAATCCATCTCTCAACAACATTTCCCATTCCAACCATTTGTCACTAAATCAAAGAAAATATGTTTTTTTTACATACAGGCTTTAAATTCCGCCTTGGCAATATATTTCTTAAATATGGAGGGGATTAGATTATCTGGACCGGGTTAAATTACTGGTTACTGTTCGATTTGAGAAGGGCGCTCCTCCCACTTTTGCCCGTTCACGTCACGGGCCATATACCGGTGCACCGCGGATCATTTTAATCAAACTCCACCAATGTGGTAGATTGTACTGGAAAGCAGAGGGAGGGGAAAATAGAGTCAACCATCCAACCAATCAGAGAGTGAGTCCTTTTGAGACACTCGTCGCTATTGGATCACATTCCAAATTGCGTGGGCCAATGGTGGGGGCGCTTTATTTCCTATTCAGTACCCGCATACAAAGGATACTTGCTTGTGTACTTTTGCAGGGGTAATAGTGCCCGAACAAACTGAAGAAAGCACAAGAAAAAGTGTGGATATGAATGCATTGCTTGTGTAGTTTCTACTCATGTAACGGGTGCGTGTGTAGTTTCTACTCATGTAACGGGTGCGTATTTCCACGGAATATTTGTGAATTGTTTGAGCACATGATTTATTTGCTTCATGTTGCCTTGGCGGACGGGATATGAAAGGAAGGGTTGCTTGGAGCAGTGGAACAAAGGGGTGTGCCACAGAGTACTGTCTTTGGGTGTGCTTTCGCTCCGTGTTGACCATTGTCGGGGCGCTTGAATCAGAGCGCCTATATTTGTAATTTATTGTGGTGCGTTTCTTAATAAGTTAATGTTCAAAAGTGGCCAAATGTAGTTTTCATGATGTCGACGAAACCATTGCACTTTTATACCGTAATGTATTAGAAACAATACGCATGTGGGATAATAAACAACTTGCCTAATGATCATTAATGATTAGTTGATACAGTACATATTCTTGTTATTAAATACACTTGCTATTCTTAATTGTTTTGTTGACGAAAGTCGTTTTTTGTAGAATGATGCGGGGAGGAAAGTAAACAAAACAATTTCGAAAGTGGTCCAGACTTTCTTCTAGAATCATTAATTCTTCACTGCGTAAAACATGTCCATATTCATCATTATATCCCTTTATTATGATTGTTATTATCCAGCACCGACTCCTGCATGTCAGTTAACATTTTACACAAATATTTCCTTTTATTTACTCACAAATATGCCATTATTATGCCAGCAGGTAATGGAGACGCTGAGGGGCTGAATGCTCAACAAGGTGTAGGCTCACTTCCAGTCATGACCTCAGGGAATGGGAACAATACGCCCATGGTGACAGGCAGTACCCCACAGAATGGCAAGAGCAAACTGCCTCAAGCCATAGTGAAAGCCCAGATCCTCACCCACTTTATTGAGGGATTCGTGATCCAGGAGGGAGCTGAGCCTTTCCCTGTAAGTAGGATTCTGAAGAAGCTTTCCACCCACTGGTTACATGGCTGTTCAGAAGCAGACACGCACACACACAGGGGCGGACTGGGACCAGAAATCGGCCCTGGCATTTCTAACACACTCTTCCTCTAGGCCCCCACACGTCCCAAAATTTTTTTTAAATTGGGGCCCCCATTATTAGCCAAATAATGATAATTTTGCGCAAAAAACACAAGTTAGACAGGCCCACTGGGCAAAAAAACTGACCAGCCTAGTCTGCCCCTGCACACACACATAATCTGATGTGAGATGGCCTTTTTTGGAGTCAACTGATCCATAAGGAAACATAGTTATCCATGTACATGACCAGGAGTGCACTACTCTCTAGTGGACCAAATTAGACTAAACCCTTCATATCATTATGCACTGTACAGCATTTTACTACCGGTGTAAGCAGCATATGTGGAAGGTAGTGTCGCTGTCCTTTCAGGTGGAACGTCCGTTGTCGTTGCTGATCGAGAACCTGAAGAAACACAAACAGCAGACACACTCTGACTCAGAGAAGACGACTACCTCCTCCAACAGCACCACTGACTCTGAGATGGAGGACCTATCACAGCAAGGTAAAGGACCAGCCAGAATACATCTTGCTTGGCCCACTATGGCCTTTTCTCAATTAGATTTGCTAAACTCCTGCGTCCTCTCTCCTCCGTCTTCTCTTGCCTCCTTTTCAAAAAGGTCAAAGGTAATCAAGGAGAGGTGGCGAGGAAAGTGAACGTGCACGAAAATGTGCTTATATGAAATGAGAAGCTCAATCTCCACTCACACATCATCAGGCAAATTACGTTTACAGGGGTGGATCCCAAAATGAATGTGTAAAGTGATAAAAATGAATGAAGTTAGTTGTGCAATACATTTGATAAATAAAAGCATAAGTAACATATAGTTTTTAAATGTGTGAATGCTATTCTCCTCTGACAAAACAACAGCTGATTCAAAGGGGGTGTGGCAGATATCAAAACTCTTCTGTGGTAGGATACACTTGTGGTTCCTCGCCAAAAGGAGGCTATCGAGGAGGGGAGGACCGTCTTCCGTTTGCCTACTAACGAATTGACACACTCCTCGACCACTAGACTACTTATTGGTTTCCGGATCACAGAGGAGAGAAGACAGAGAATGGACTTTTGCCGAAACGAGAAAAGGCCTATGAGCCCAGAACTATAAGCTTCTCATCGTGGCTTTGGCTACCTGGCTTCATGTCCCACTTCTGCTGGAATTTCAGCACAAATGTTTGTAAATATTGGCACTTGGATTTGCTCTTCTTGACCCATACTGTAGGACTGTATATTCTTCTTTCAGTCTCACATCAGCCAACTGTCTGAACATAGGAAAGTCAAAACCAACCACTTGCCTCCGTAGACATGAAGTCATACCACTCACTCACTGCATGTCATGCTAACTGGTATTCAGTGTTAATAACCACCATATTTTTACCACTACATCCCTGGTTCCCATGTGTTGACGTGAAATTGTTTTTGCTGTGCAGAGCTGAAGCAGCAAGAGGAGCCCACCCTGACGTGTGAGCTGTGTGGCAGAGTGGACTTTGCCTACAACTTCAAGAGATCCAAGAGGTTCTGCTCCACAGTGTGTGCCAAACGGTAAGGCCTGGGTAGACAAGATGCTGGGACTGAGATCTGGGTCGTATTCATTAGGCACCAAAAGGGAAGGAAACGGACTGCAACAAGGAGGGACTTTCGTTTTCCATTGAAAAACATTTTGCTAAGGTGTGGTCTAATGACTATAACCCAGATCTCCAGCAGTTGTTGCTGTAGTAATTACAGCAGTAGTACACAAGTAGTACACAAGTGCAGGAATAACAAATAAATGAATGGCTTATTCTTTACTTGAGCCTATAATTTGTTACTCAGATTTGTTGTTGTTGTGAAAACACAATTAAACAACAAATGACTTGCTCAGCCTTTGAAACACTTAATTACCCAAGCTACTTATTGAGACATAGCCCATTTTATTTTTTACCCATAAAATGTTTGTGCAGGTACAATGTGGGATGTACAAAGCGAATGGGCCTCTTTCCAAATCGACAAACCACGATGGAGAAACTGAAGAAGCAGAGAACGACCAATGGAAACCAGAACTCAAGTTCAGAGACCAAAAAACAGGTGAAATGGCACTGTTCACAAAATATCAAGAATAAAAGTACTATATGACTTTGTAAACATATTTCCATTGAGACCCTCTTTCTGGCTAGAATGGCAATCCCATATGATCACTTCAAAGCTAAACCCTTCCTTTGTGTGTTTCAGACTTCCACCACTGGCCAACAACCTGGGGGTGGATCAGTGACATCCAGCCACCCCTCTCATCCTGGTCACAGGGAGTCCAGCCAGTGTTTGGACATGTCCAGCTACGAGGGTCCCCCTTCGCCGCCCCTGTCTGCTGCCAGCTCTAGTGCTCCCAGGTCCCAGGCGGGCAGAGGGGCTGAGCACACGGAGGGCTGTGGACAAGAGCTGCCTCTCCTCTCCCAGCACTTCCAGCCCAGCGACCCGGCCAAGTGGAACGTGGAGGAAGTCTACGATTTCATCTGCTCCCTGCCAGGTGGGCACTGCCACATTTTCCATTTACTGCAACAGTTGCTAAATAGCAGCCAAAATGGCAGAGTAGCAGCCCAATACAACAGTGGTCACCAACCTTGCTATTGGAGAAATGCAGTGTGTGCAGGCTTTTGTTTTAGCACAGTAGTAACACACATACTTCAGCCAACAAACTTAGTTTTTTGATTTAATTGAAATACAAACTTTGTTTAAACACCCTAAAACATGGATATCAGTTCCAGGAACAAAATTGGTGACCTGACCACTGTCATAAATCAAGCAACTAGCAGGAGGGATGTTTAGAAAATACTTGCTTGGAACCTGGTGGTTGTGTGTAATGTGTATATATATATATTTTTAAGCTAACTGGCGAGTGGCTGTTTGTTTTATTCCCAGGTTGCCTGGAGATAGCCAATGAGTTCCGCTCGCAGGAGATCGACGGCCAGTCCTTGCTGCTGCTGAAAGAGGACCACCTCATGGGCACCATGAACATCAAACTGGGGCCTGCGCTCAAGATCCTTGCCCAGATCAGTATGCTTAGAGACTCGTAGCCCCTCCTCTCTGGAGCTGCTCCACACTGCAGGAAAGTAAATACGGTGCTCTGGACATACGGTACTCTGACCATGCTCAAGCCTACCGCTGTGGCAGGTTGGTCCCACGGTTGTGGTGGATGGACAAGGGTGTCTCTCTGTCCCATAGAAACTGATGGTCCATAGGATATTGGCAACCCTTTCTGAGGTTAGAGCTTTGCCCCTTCGGACTTAGCTACTGTATGAGTTGTACTGTGGATGTTGTACTGTGCACAAGTAGCTCACTCAGCCAGACTCAAATGGACAAGGTGGTACTTAAGTTCAGAAATGACATTACTAGTAGTTAGAGATTCTCTGGTACTTCTGTATACTTTTTAGCCAGTAGTTCTGAAAGTAGTGCTCACGAGCCAAAAGTGGTCCCTGAAAATTGCGTACTACGTCACATATGTGCAGATATGTGCACCACGTCATTGCTTTCTATCTCTCGCTCTGCTGTGTGTGTATCTTGCTAGCTGTCGCTCAAATAGCGAGGGGCTGAAGCTCATTGGCTGGAACTCGAAATGTTAGGGGGCTGGCCCACATGGGGGAAACTGTTGGGAAAATGGCGCCGCACAGCTCCCAGTAAACAGCCTCTTCCAAACTAGGATGTTGTGGCTAATTTGAGGTAAGAAAGTAATTCTGCTCATAGATTATGCATGTATCAACTACACATCAAATTGTATTGGTCACATGCGCCGAATACAACAAGTCTACGTAGACTTTACAGTGAAATGCTTACTTACAAGGCCATTCCTAACAATGCAGAGTTGAAGAATGAGGCAAATATTTGCTAAATTAAAAGGAAATACACATCCAGCCCAAAGTTGGAGGTTTAGAAAAAGACTTAATAGTCGCCAAAGTTTCGGAACATTTCTTTAAGTCAGTTAAAAAAAAATTGTGAGGTAGTTGCATCTGGATAACTTTTCCATTGATAATATACACTGAGTTTACAAAACATTAATAACACCTGCTCTTTCCATGACATAGACTGGTGAATCCAGGTAAAAGCTATGATCCCTTATTGATGTCACTTGTTAAATCCACTTAAATCAGTGTAGATGAAGGGGAGGAGAAAGGTTAAGTAAGGATTTTTAAGCCTTGAGACATTGATTGTGTATATGTACCATTCAGAGGGTGAGTGGGCAAGACAAAATATTTAAGTGCCTTTGAACAGGGTTATTTTTTCACACTCAACAGTTTCCCATGTGTATCAACTTGACACAACTGTGGGAAGCATTGGAGTCAACATGGGCCAGCAGCCCTGTGGAACGCTTACGACACCTTGTAGAGTCCATGCCCCGACGAATTGAGGCTGTTCTGAGGGCAAAAGGAGGGGGGTGCAACTCAATATAATTAGGAAGGTGTTATTAATGTTTTGTACACTCAGTGTATATTTGGTTCTTGACTGGAAGTAGGCCTTTTGGGCATTTTGGTCTTGGCAGAAAGTGGTCGAAAAACCCACCTAGGACTGTATTTTGAGTTGTTGGGTTAGAAACACCATCCATTGCACAGGACAATACACAAAATGTTACAGTTCACACCTTGAATAGGTGGGATGTGATACTTACTCGCATATTTTTGTATATAAATTCAAAAAAATATCCTAAGAAATCATTGCATCCTTTTTTTTTTTGAAAATGTTTCTTGTGTTTTTAAGAAAACAGGTGTTTTGAAGATTCTAAATTTGAATAATTTTGTTCACTTTCTTAATTTATTGTCCTGTGTCAATGTTCTTTCTTCTTCCGTGAAGTCCATTTTCAAAGGGACAAGCCTTTGTAAGTCGCTCTGGATAAGAGCGTCTGCTAAATGACGTAAATGTAAATGTTAACCATATGTAGTCGTCTGTCCCAACTGGCCTCCAAGTAGTGTCTCTGGCCTCCAGAAATCTGGGCTAATGGAAATGGATTACTCTTACAAACTGTCATTCCAAGTTTGTATTATTCTGTGTGATATACTACTAGGGGTTTAATTGGACAGGAACATGGTGGAGGGACGTTCAGGTTCCCACACCTGTTGTGGGTGAAAAACTTGTGACATTTGAATAGATCTAAATGAATATATTTTCGGGAACACCACCATTCCCAATTCCATTTTGTGCTCAGTATCGTACACAATGAAAAGCAGATCTTAATAGATAAAAATCACTCTGAATTATATATTTGTTTGGGTCATCACTGCAACGTGTTGCAGGCCTTTATAGACTTTGAAACCTGCTGTAACACTCAAACCAAAGCGTCATCGGCATCATGTTTGTATCTGATGTTTAGATTTAGAAATTCACTTAGCATTCTTCAAGTTCTAAACTTGTTGAGTATTTGTATTTATGGAACTAGTTCTCGTATACCACATTTTGTACTTCAAAAAATAAAACCTTAAAATAGTATGTGTGTACACTTTTCTGCAGTGATATAAGACCATACCGTCATTTATTACGAATATACAGTAGCTACAAATATCACAACAAAAAAGTACAGATGGAAAATATTTGACTTTAAGTGAATACATTTAATTGAAATACATTTTGAGTGGGGTCTCATATACAGTGGGGGAAAAAAGTATTTAGTCAGCCACCAATTGTGCAAGTTCTCCCACTTAAAAAGATGAGAGAGGCCTGTAATTTTCATCATAGGTACACGTCAACTATGACAGACAAATTGAGAAAAAAAAATCCTGAAAATCACATTGTAGGATTTTTAATGAATTTATTTGCAAATGATGGTGGAAAATGAGTATTTGGTCACCTACAAACAAGCAAGATTTCTGTCTCTCACAGACCTGTAACTTTTTCTTTAAGAGGCTCCTCTGTCCTCCACTCGTTACCTGTATTAATGGCACCTGTTTGAACTTGTTATCAGTATAAAAGACACCTGTCCACAACCTCAAACAGTCACACTCCAAACTCCACTATGGCCAAGACCAAAGAGCTGTCAAAGGACACCAGAAACAAAATTGTAGACCTGCACCAGGCTGGGAAGACTGAATCTGCAATAGGTAAGCAGCTTAGTTTGAAGAAAACAACTGTGGGATCAATTATTAGGAAATGGAAGACATACAAGACCACTGATAATCTCCCTCGATATGGGGCTCCACGCAAGATCTCACCCCGTGGGGTCAAAATGATCACAAGAACGGTGAGCAAAAATCCCAGAACCAGACGGGGGGACCTAGTGAATGACCTGCAGAGAGCTGGGACCAAAGTAACAAAGCCTACCATCAGTAACACACTACGCCGCCAGGGACTCAAATCCTGCAGTGCCAGACGTGTCCCCCTGCTTAAGCCAGTACATGTCCAGGCCCGTCTGAAGTTTGCTAGAGTGCATTTGGATGATCCAGAAGAGGATTGGGAGAATGTCATATGGTCAGATGAAACCAAAATATAACTTTTTGTTAAAAACTCAACTCGTCATGTTTGGAGGACAAAGAATGCTGAGTTGCATCCAAAGAACACCATACCTACTGTGAAGCATGGGGGTGGAAACATCATGCTTTTGGGCTGTTTTTCTGCAAAGGGACCAGGATGACTGATCCGTGTAAAGGAAAGAATGAATGGGGCCATGTATCGTGAGATTTTGAGTGAAAACCTCCTTCCATCAGCAAGGGCATTGAAGATGAAACGTGGCTGGGTCTTTCAGCATGACAATGATCCCAAACACACCGCCCGGGCAACGAAGGAGTGGCTTCGTAAGAAGCATTTCAAGGTCCTGGAGTGGCCTAGCCAGTCTCCAGATCTCAACCCCATAGAAAATCTTTGGCGGGAGTTGAAAGTCCGTGTTGCCCAGCGACAGCCCCAAAACATCACTGCTCTAGAGGAGATCTGCATGGAGGAATGGGCCAAAATACCAGCAACAGTGTGTGAAAACCTTGTGAAGACTTACAGAAAACGTTTGACCCGTGTCATTGCCAACAAAGGGTATATAACAAAGTATTGAGAAACTTTTGTTATTGACCAAATACTTATTTTCCACCATCATTTGCAAATAAATTCATTAAAAATCCTACAATGTGATTTTCTGGATTTTTTTCTTCTCATTTTGTCTGTCATAGTTGATGTGTACCTATGATGAAAATTACAGGCCTCTCTCATCTTTTTAAGTGGGAGAACTTGCACAATTGGTGGCTGACTAAATACTTTTTTTCCCCACTGTACAATACAAATAATCAGTTAATAACAGGGGCAGTGAGAGAATAATTAATTAGAACTATTCAACTGGCTGACACAGAAACGTCTTTCGCATATGCTTCTCTACTGCATAAACTGAGACTCCATGACCACTGCAACAGTATGAAGTATGAGTATAAAGCTTATTAGAATCTGACATGGTGAGAAAACAGCAATTACAGCAATTGACAAATATGAATCTTAATTCAAACATATTTAGGATGAAACTGACAATTTAATTTAAAAAATGAAATCATTGAAAAAATATATTTAGGATGTCGTCTTTTAGAAAGGTTGGCAGGTGTCCCTTTTAACAGCCAGTACAAGCAGCAAATGTGCAGATCTCACAGGCATGAGGACGGGCAGCCACAAATGCTGTTCACAAACACACAACCACTACAATTACCACAGATAATCTTCCCTTTAGCCTTTATACAAACACACACCCACACATGCAAATACTATACATGTAGAAGTGTGTGCACGCACACACACACACACACAAACCCATGGTATTTATAGTTTTTACAATTATTACAGAAAGAATCCACTAATTAGCCAATGGACTTTCAACACCTTATTATCCCTATTTGAAAATAAAAGTGAAAATACCCATGTTTTTCAGCCTATCAATCATCGGGTCACTCCTTCCTTTTCAGAATTACAGTTTGGAAGCTCAGTTGCTAATGTCGTGGAAATTCTTACACAGGGACACTCTAAGTCAATCTTAATTGAATCATTGTTTATTGTCAGCGCACAGGAGAGGTTCCAACAAACTTAATGCGCCATAGTGAACTATGTCAGAAGCTCTAACGGGGCAGTC